TTTAGATTCAAATGAAAATTCCATAGTCAACAAAGAAAGAAGGAAAACCAAATTTCAAAACAGTTCTATGTTGGTTTGGTTCATGGAGGGAATATATAATATATCCTTTAATCTAGTCACTTTTCAAATACCTGAATTCAAAGGTTTTATCATGTGGAGCTGCAGGATAATGCACTGGACCGGACCGCAAGGCTAGATTGAAACCAAGGTTGGCTGTTCAAACCCACCAACTACTTCTCAGGAATCATACACAGGTTAGCTATGGGTCAGAACTGATTCAACAGCAATTAACAACAACATAAGCAAGACAGTCAAAATGGGTTTGAAAAATTGGTTTGTTCCATATTACAATTTATTTATAAAATATATATTTCTCTAATTATCCTAATTGGTGTAAAAAACATTAAAATAAGCTTCTTTTTCCTTAGCAAACTGTTTCTGAGAGAAGGACTAAGTGTCCCAGCAACAGACGGACAACTGGGAAAACTGTTAAAATTTTACCTTCAATACTTTATACATAACGCTATATTTAAACCAAAGTTACAGAGCCCAGTGGCACAGTCATTAAGCACGTTATTCCTCACTGAAAGGTTGGCAGTTCGAACCCACTAACTGTTCCACAGAGAAAAGATTAAGCAGTCTGCTTTGTGTAAAGATTTAGTCTTGGAAACCCTGTGGGCAGTCTTACTCTGTCTTACAAGGCCTCCATGAGTAGGAATCCATCAGAGAGCAATGGGTATATGAGGTGCCTTGATGACTTGATAGGGCTTTTCTATCCAAAGTCTTCTTAATTCCCACCAAGTGATTGGGTGGGACCATGCAAATAAGGTACACAGGACTCTTAGGCTAGAATTAGTTAGCTTTGCCATCCAGATAGGCTTAAAAGGAGCCATCTCAGAAGCATAGAAAGAAGACCCCAAGACCATCAAGAAGGAAGACTATGAGTGACATGTGAGATCCCTACCTAGAGAAACAATGACATGGCAGAGATGGTGGCTTGAAGAAACACAGCAGCTTCAAGCTCTAGGCCTATGAACTGAATAAAGTTGAGTGCCTACAGGCAAGAGACTGGCCTGAAGAATGTGCCTTTGGGCATTCGTAGATTAAATAAGAGTTTTGTAACACTTGCCAGAGCAGGGCAGAGGCCTGAGAGACTGAAGATAAGAGTGAGGCATGTCTGCAGTATGGCAGCCAAGAGGCTTTTCTGAGTGAAGAACTGTTGTGTCCTGAGCTGTTTTTATCCTGAATTGCACTCTGTTCACTTCCCTAACAAGCCCCATAATTATATGAGTTGTAGGTGGCCATTGCAATGGATTATGATGCCAAGATGTGAAGCAGAGAGTGCTGTGGGAGGGATGGTAGGTGTCAGAATAGGGTAAAGAAGGTTGTAGAGTGGAAACATTTAGAGGAATCAGCTTTGGGCAGATTTTGAGTTTGATCCTTTTTCTCCCTTGTGAAGCCAGGGGAAGACCGACATGATCACCACAGGGTTTTTGTAGTATGAATATGTCAGTTACATTTTATAAAGTTTTAACATCCTCATATATAAGAGGGTCAGGAGGCCTAATTCTATTCTTCTTGTTTCCGCCTTATACGCATGTTTTCTCTTGCTACAGTGAAGAAACTATAATCACATAACTTGCTTTAAGAGTATGCAAGAGACTGTCTCCTGGACCGCAGCCTCTGCAATGCCGCTGCTTGTGGAGGGGCCGTGAGTGTGGCTGCCACAGTCTGCAGGGACCTTGTCCAAGCCCACCCAACTCTGGAGGTAATGGGGCTACATGCTTGACACATTGTGACGGAACCAACAACAAAGCCGAGGTCCCCTTGATCATGAACGCCATAAAGTCCTTTTCTGATCACACTCAGTGTGGAAGGCTAGAAGTGCACCTTGTGGGCGGCTTCAGTGACGACAGGCAGCTGTCACAGAAACTCACTGACCAACTTCTCAGTGAATTTGACCGACAGAAAGAGGACATTCACTTAAGTAACGCTGTGTGTGACAGAATTAAATGACTGGGAAGAGAATGAAAACCATTTTCCAATCATTTATGGCATCGCTGTCAACGTTAAAACTGCCGAGATTTACAGAGCCTCCTTTCAGGACCAAGGCCTAGAGGAAGAGCTGTGTGCTGTGCATCCTGACACAAGGACCGATGATTAGCATTTACAATGCAAAGACAAAACATCACATAGGACCATACTCCTGGATGCCATTTACATATGTGGCTTTCTGGTTGCAGCAAGATGATAAGTAAATACTAGAGAACCTTTCCACATTACCTCTGGCTGAGCCCCCACACTTTGTTGAACATATCAGATCAACCTTGATGTTTTTAAAAAAATACCCATCTCCAACTAGCAAGTTGTTTCCTGGAAACAAAGCTCTACTGTACGAAAAAAAAAAAAAAAAATGACAATGGCTTATGGGAAAAAAGCTCTTCTTGAAGCTAAAACCAGGAGTTACCAAAGAAGGCAAGTTAGGGGGTGACAGAGACCACTGTGAGGTAGGAGGAGTGTGAACTTGGGTTTGACACACCACTGTATCTTAAGTCTTCATACATTTCAGTGTCTTTCAAATGACTTTCAAAATAAAATGTTATTTTGGCAAAAAAAAAGTATGCAAGGGTAAAACTAAAATTGTGTATGCACTAGAAGGCCCAGAATATGACTACATTCTGTTTAAGTAGGCCCTGCTCCAAAGAGAAAATGAAATCACTACAAATTTCCATAGAAGAGGATTTTGCCAACTAAACTAAAATAAAGAACTTGAAGATAACGGTTTGCCAAGAGAGGGGAAAGAATGAAAAGACAGGACCTTTTACTTTTCATTCTTCATTAACTCACTTCATTGTTGATTTCTATTATTGGTATCAGGCACTATGTGAGGAACTTGAAATGCAGTAGGAAAAGCAAAGGCACCCTGTATTTATTCTCAGTGGCACTTAAGGAGGGCTTCAAAAAGTTCTTGGAAAAATTTCTTTATCTTTCATTTCCATTTTTCAATGAACTTTTGAAGTTCCCTTGTATATGATATGTTTTCATGTATTATTTGTATAAAAGAAAGAGGGAAAGAAGGAAGGAGGGAAACAGGACGAGACTGAAAAGGAAAGACTCAAGGAAAACAAGCCTTTGACATTTAATAGATTTAACATTAATGGTTATAATTTTTCACAAGTAACCCTAAAAGTTCGCTATATGTACTAAATTTACTCAGGGATAAAATTGGGCCACACATATTAGTGGTATAGTTGTAATAGTGTTTCTTAGTTAATGAAGGTTCTTAGCAGTCCACTAGCCCTCTCACTCACCTGGATGTTTTTTACATGCTGAGTGGTAGCCACGATTCTCGTAGAGTGATACAACTTTTATGTTTGGAGAGCTTATAACTAGTGCTAAAAATAACAGATGTCCAAGAAAGGGATGGTCCTTCGCAAGAATGCAGAAGTTTGGGGAAAAAGAATTACACTTCCAATTCCACTGTGGATTAAACTACAGTCAACACAGTTCAGATGGGAGTACCATCATTCACCACTATCACCTTGATGCCTGTAAGCCCACAGATAATTTTATTGCAAAAAAAATAAAGAAACCGATATTAATCTTCTTTTAGTGGTAGGAATTATTTTGATGTTTTAAGAATGATTTTAGCCTGATATTTATATAATCAGGAGTACAGTGGCTCTGTAGGATAAGCAATGGTTACAAACCACAAGGTCAGCAGCTTGATCCCACCAGCCACTCTGTGGGAGAAAGATGAGGCTTTCTGCTCCTGCAAAGATTTCCAGCCTTGGAAAATCTATATAGAGTTGTTGAGTTGGATCTGACTCAACAACACAACATTTATATAATCATTAGGCTCTGAAAGAGTCTATAA